ACTGTGTACAGTGAAGCCCTTGGAAGTGTGCCTGGCATAGAAGCAATCAATAAATGTCTGTTCTATCATCACTATTAACTCAGCTTGGATTTATTGAAGACTTGCTCCCTGCCAGGCCCTGGGCAATTCATTGGGCTGCAGATTAAAGACATTGTCTCTGGCCTCCAGGAATTTACAGTCCTGTAGGAGAGATCTGTGCATAGTTAAATGATAGGTGTTAGAGACAAATAGAGGGTGTGGTAGCACAAAGGCGGAGTGATGGGCTCTGTCCCGGGCGTAGCCTGGGGCCGTTTGAAGGCAGAGGGTGTGGTCCAGGTTTGGGGCAGGCACAGGGCTCCCCTTGTGGCTCAGGCGGTAAGGAATCTGCCTGATGAATCAGGAGATGCAGGTTCGATCCCTGGATCCAGAAGATCCCCTGGAGAAGGAAATGGCACCCCACTCCAGTGTTCTTGCTTGGAGGGTTCCATGGACAGGGGAGCCTGGTGGGCTGTATAGTCCACGGGGCCACAAAGAGTCGGACACGACTGAGCGACTAACACAGAAGCAGGAGGCAGGGACGAGCCTGAGAGATGGGAGGGGAGGTGCTGATTTGGGCCCCTGAGGGCACAAGAGGAGGGCTTGGAGAGCACAGAGCTTTGGGGTCGTCCAGGGCCTGGGACTCTCAGGGGAGGGAGATGACATTGAAGGGGTGGTTCAGGGCTGGGTCTCAGTGACCTTACCTGGGCGCTGCCCAGGAGCTTGGACTCTGTAGCACGTGAGGGCTCTGGGGAGCCAGGGAAGGCTTTTTTTAGGCAAAGGGAAGAACATGATCAGATTCATGTTTTAGAAAGTTGACTCTGGAAATCAGTTAGGGGGAGGCATAGAGGTGAGGCTGCCTGATGCAAGGGAGAGCCTGGAGGCAGGCAGACCTGGGGACTCTCCTATCTGGGACGCACGGTGATGGGGCTCAGCTAAGGCCGTGAGCATGGCGTGGAGGGGAGGATATTGGAGTTGGGGCGTAATACGGGGCCACGTTAACTTGGTGGAGTGCGTCGGAGTGTGGGGCTGAGGGTTAGAAGAGTGAGGAGGACTAGTGGGCAGATGGGTGTCCCATGGGCCAGGAAGGGGAGAATGGGAAGGAGAGTTTGGGGAGGAAGTGGTGGGGTCAGTTCTAGCAGGTTGAATTGGGAGGAGGGGAAGGGGTTGGATTATTTTGTCTGAATGCTTTTGAACAACCAGGTAGAAACACATTCAGCTGCAGAAGAGGTCCGAGTTGGAGCTGGTGGCCGGGAAGGTTGTCTGGGGAGTGCAGGGTGAATGGGGATGAGGGCAGCTGGCGGAGCCGCGAGGAACACCCAGGTCCAGAGGGTGGAGACCCCAAGGGCATGGAGTAGCCACAGGAGGGTGACCGGGGAGGGTCTGGTAAGAGAGGGCAGAGGACTGACGTTTGGACTTGGCCACAGGGGGTTGCTCGTTGACCTGGTGAGAGCGGTTCCCTGTTACGGAGGCAATAGGGGCCAGAGAGCGTGAAACAGTCAGAGGTGAGCAGAGCGCAGTGCGCACAACCCCGGAGAAGCTTAGCTGTGACTGGGAGAGCGTGGAGCCTGCTCCAAGAGCTCAAAGAAGGGAAAGCTCCGAGGTAGACGGATGAGCCCCTCTGGGACCAGGGATGGGGGTGGGGAGAGGAGGAGTCTGGAGGGGGTTACTTCAGCAGTCTCCGTTTCCTCTGACATGGAAAGGGAAGTGAGTAGGGATCGAGGAAGGTACTGGAAGTTTGGGCTGGCCACTGAAGAGAATGGATGATGGAGTGTCATGCCTCCTGCCCCCAGATTCAAATGGATTCCACTGCAGGATAAAATCTGTTTTAGACGCTTATGAGCATTTTTTATGGGTGTATAGATTTTTTAAAAAGTGTTTGTAGCTTATTATGTGAGCTTCTTAGAATGTGGGAGACCCAGGTTTGATCCCTGGGTGGGGAAGATCCTCTGGAGAAGGAAATGGCAACCCACTCCAGTACTCTTGCCTGGAAAATCCCATGGGAGAAGCCTGGTAGGCTACAGTCCATGGGGTCACAAAGAGTCGGACACGACTGAGCAACTTTACTTACATGTGAGCTTCCCAGGTGGTGCTAGTGATAAAGAACCCGCCTGCCAATGAAGGAGACGTAAGAGACACAGGTTTGATCCCTGGGTCAGGAAGATCCCCTCGAGGAGGCCAGAGCAACCCCCTCCAGTATTCTTGCCTGTGAAATCCCATGAAACAGAGGAGCCTGGTGGGCTACCATCCATGAGGTGGCAAAGAGTCGGACACGACCAAAGCGACTTAGCCTGCAAAGCTTATTATGTACAAGGAGAAAAGACTGGAAGACCATACTCCAGAATGTTAACAGTCCTAATCTTTGGATGATAGAATCAGAGGAGTGGGTTTTCCCTGTTTTCATTTTCTCTTCTCTCTGCATTTTTAAAAGTCATGAACCAGTATTGCTTTGGAAATGAGGAAAAGACAAGTAAGTTTTGCTCTGCTGAGGTGCAGTGACGTGGAAGCTTTGAGCCATTCCTGTGAGATGTAAGTGGCAGATGGACGAACAGGGTGTTTCTTTTAGTGCACGTGTGACAACCGTGGCAGAAATGTCTCAGCGGGCCTTCCAACTCCGCGGAACAAACTTCCTTACCATGAACTAGTATGTTCTGAAATCTGCGGAAATGAGCCCAGAAGAGCCTGTTTGTTTGTTTTTCAAAGAAGGACAGAGAAAGGGAGCAAGGCGGATCCCTCAGCTCTGGGAGTGGTCCAGCTCATCTCTTGCTCTGCGAGGGAGGCTTCCTGGGTGTGTGGGGTCTTGCCTGGATGGGAGTGTGCCTTCAAGGAGATGTGTGCAGAGGCAGTTCCATGGAGGGGAAACCTTTGGAAAAAAGGCTGTGCTCTTGAATTGATGTTTCTGTGGCTGGGGTCTGGAATAGCAGGCGGTAACGAGAAGACCAAAAGACAGCTCCAGGTGCCGTTGGTGGTGTAAAGCTCTTATAGCCTTTATGGGGGGAGAGGGGTCTCCTGAGGTTTACAGCAAATTTTGGTGGCAGGGACCTTAAATGCTGGACCTGGGTGGGGGGGGGGGTGTGAGAAAGCAACTTTCATTTAGGAAAACAGCCCCATTGCCTCATCTCCTTGGGGAGACAATGTTCCTTAGTGCTTTTCCCTCGTACACGTGACAACAGTGACTTCCAGATGTGATTCTTTGGCTTCAGGATCCATGAAAGGTCACGTGATTGCCCAAACTCAGTTGCTTTTTTACATTAAAGAGAATTTAAAATACAGTCCTCTGGAGTTCCCTGCAATCCTTCTTCCTGGGTCAGCGCCCTTCCCAGGCCCCTTTCAAAGTCCATCAGGGTGGTCTGGGCCCTGGTTTGCCTCTGAAGACTTCCAGACCCTGACGCTCCACTGGTGCCTTAAGGGGGACACTCAGCTCTCTCTGGATGAGACACCTCATAGCATCTCGGTTACAAAATTCAGGAAAGTTGCTCATACTCCTGCTTTGGATAGCTCCTTCCTGAGTATCTATTTTTCCTGGTTTTTCAAATGAGTTTTTTTCCTTATTGTAGAAGCCACATGTTCATATTAGAATATTTAAGAAATATAGTTAAAAGTTAATTACAAATTACTGTGATTTTACTACATGAAATAACCATTAACACTTGGCACACACATGTGTTTCTGTATTTGTGCATGTGTGATGTTTACCAAAATGGGTCTGTAGTCTACATATTATTTGAGAATCTACTTTTCCCTTTAACAGTCTATCATAGATGTTTCCTGTGTCAATAACTGTGTACTTTTATGGCATATTTGATGTCAACTGCTGGTTGCTCATTCATGTCCAACTCTGCGACCCCGTGGACTGTAGCCCACCAGGCTCCTCTGCCCATGCAATTCTCCAGGCAAGAATAATGGAGTGGGTCGCCATTCCTTTCTCCAGGGGCTGTTCCCGACCCAGGGATTGAACCTGGGTCTCCTGAATTGCAGGCGGACTCTTTCACTGTCTGAGCCACCAGGGGAGTGCAGCCAACTCTGTCCTAAGTGACACTGTGTGTGCCAGGCAGTCCTCGCCTACCAAAGTTGGTTTGCATTTGGAATTTCTGTGGCGGGCTCTCCTGGCATCTGACTGTATTTTGAAGACCAGATTTTTTTTTTTTGACTTCTGTTTTGAACTTTTAGAAAAAATTAACATGAAATACTTGAGACAGTCAAAAGGGTATCAAGGATAATATGATGACCACTCGTGTGTTTACCTCCCAGCTTTGTAAATTAAAAACAAAACTTACAAAGACAGGTTAGCTTCTTTATATGTCCCACCCTCACCCCCACTTCATTCCACTCCCAGCCTCCCCACCACCACAGAGCTGATCATTTTCCTGGGTCACATTTTCAGCATCTTGGTGTGAAGAGCACTTTGCATATTTGAGGGCAGTGGCTCACAGTTTCTTGTGGATTCATAAGAACTAAACACAGATTATCAATCCATGACAACAGTCCTGAAAAAGAAGAAAATAGCACTTGATCCCATTTTAAACAGAACCCAGTAACATTCAGAGCTGTGCACTTTGACCTGAGTGAACTGGACTGTTTGATGTGATAATCCCCAGTGAACATTGGCAAGAACTGAAGCAGGCCCTGGGAAATCTAATGTAGACCAAAATAGCAGTTGATGAGTCACATCCTCAGTGAAATATTTACTGATACATAGGAAAGGATGCATTCAGTGAAAACAGTTTTGGTAAAATGGCAATAGAAGGTCATCAGGAACAATGTAACTGTCCAGTGTGGACAATTGTTCACTTTCCCTAGGGTTCTCTTCCCCAGGTAAATTCTTATCGTCAGTGTTGCCATAACTCGCAACGGACCCCACGCGTCGTTGGCATGAACACGCCCGGTCCCCGTGCGCGGACTGCCACGGCCGGATGACGGCCACCCCCGCGGTGTGTCAGCACCGAGGGGCCCTGGCCTGACCGTGACGTCTCTCTTCCTCGCAGGGCGCGGTCCCCAAAGGGAACGCCACGAAAGAGTTCATCGAGAGCCTACAGCTGAAGCCCGGGCAGGTGGTCTACAAATGTCCCAAGTGCTGCAGCATCAAGCCTGACCGAGCCCACCACTGCAGGTACGCCAGGCCTGCCCGGGCCCTCCTCAGCCCTGCCCCCGCCGTCTCACCACACTCCCGACTACCTTCGGCCTCGCACCCTCCCCGCCCACCGTCGCCGTCAACAATGCCCCCCCACCATCGTCCTCCACACTCCCCCCCCGCCGTCGCCCTCCACACTCCCCCCCCGCCGTCGTCCTCCATACTGCCCCCCCCACCGTCACCCTCACACTCCCCCCCCACCGTCGCCCTCCACACTCCCCCCCCCCCGTCACCCTCACACTCCCCCCCCACCGTCGCCCTCCACACTCCCCCCCACCGTCGCCGTCCACACTCCCCCCCACCGTCGCCCTCCACACTCCCCCCCACCGTCGCCCTCCACACTCCCCCCCCCCACCATCACCATCACATTGCCGCCTACCGTCGCCACCGTCACCCTCCACACTCCCCGGCCATCCGTGCCCGTGCGGGGGAATGTGTGTGCGAGTGTGGGGGTGAGTGTGAGGGTGCCCGTGGAGGACCCGAACCGTCGCCGTCCACACTCCCCCCCTCACCGTCGCCATCCACACTCCCCCACCGCCGTCGCCCTCCACACTCCCCCACCACCGTCACCATCACATTGCCACCCACCGTCGCCACCGTCGCCGTCCACACTCCCCCGCCGTCCGTGCCTGTGCGGGGGAATGTGTGTGCGAGGGTGGGGTGAGTGTGAGGGTGCCCGTGGGGGACCCCAACCGTCGCCGTCCACACTCCCCACACGGGCACCCTCACACTCCCCCCCACCGTCGCCCTCACACTCCCCCCCCCCCACCATCGCCGTCCACACTGCCCCCGCACCGTCGCCCTCCACACTCCCCCACCACCGTCACCATCACATTGCCGCCCACCGTCGCCACCGTCGCCCTCCACACTCCGCCGCCGTCCATGCCCGTGCGGGGTAATGTGTGTGCGAGGGTGGGGTGAGTGTGAGGGTGCCCGTGGGGGACCCGAACCGTCGCCGTCCACACTCCCCACACGGGCACCCTCACACTCCCGCCCACCGTCGCCCTCACACTCCTCACCCCACCGTCACCATCACATTGCCGCCCACCTTCGCCACCGTCACCCTCCACACTCCCCCGGCCATCCGTTACCCGTGCGGGGGAATGTGTGTGCGAGTCTGGGGATGAGTGTGAGGGTGCCCGTGGGGGACCCGAAACTGTCGCCGTCCACACTCCCCCCACCGTCGCCCTCACACTCCCCCCCCCACCGTCGCCGTCCACACTCCCCCCCCCACCGTCACCGTCCACACTCCCCCACCGCCGTCGCCCTCCACACTCCCCCACCACCATCACCATCACATTGCCGCCCACCGTCGCCACCATCGCCGTCCACACTCCCCCGCCGTCCGTGCCTGTGCGGGGGAATGTGTGTTCGAGGCTGGGGTGAGTGTGAGTGTGCCGTGGGGGACCCCAACCGTCGCCGTCCACACTCCCCACACGGGCACCCTCACACTGCCCCCCACCGTTGCCCTCACACTACCCCCCCACCGTCACCATCACATTGCCGCCCCACCGTCGCCACCGTCACCCTCCACACTCCCCCACCACCGTCACCATCACATTGACGCCCACCGTCGCCACCGTCGCCGTTCACACTCCCCAGCCGTCCGTGCCTCTGCGGGGGAATGTGTGTGCGAGAGTGAGGTGAGTGTGAGGGTGCCCGTGGGGGACCCCAACCGTCGCCGTCCACACTCCCCACACGGGCACCCTCACACTCCCGCCCACCGTCGCCCTCACACTCCCCACCCCCACCGTTGCCGTTCACACTCCACCCCCACCGTCGCCATCTACACTCCCCCCCCACCGTCACCATCACATTGCCGCCCACCGTCGCCACCGTCACCCTCCACACTCCCCCCACCACCGTCGCCCTCACACTCCCCCCCCCCCACCGTTGCCGTCCACACTGCTCCCCCACCGTCGCCCTCCACACTCCCCCCCCACCGTCACCATCACATTGCCGCCCACCGTCGCCACCGACACCCTCCACACTCCCCCACCACCGTCACCATCACATTGCCGCCCACCGTCGCCACCGTCACCCTCCACACTCCCCCACCACCGTCAACATCACATTGCCGCCCACCGTCGCCACCGTCGCCGTCCACACTCCCCAGCCGTCCGTGCCTGTGCGGGGGAATGTGTGTGCGAGGGTGGGGTGAGTGTGAGTGTGCCCGTGGGGGACCCCAACCGTCGCCGTCCACACTCCCCACACGGGCACCCTCACACTCCCGCCCACCGTCGCCCTCACACTCCCACCCCACCGTTGCCGTTCACACTCCACCCCCACCCGTCGCCATCTACACTCCCCCCCCACCGTCACCATCACATTGCCGCCCACCGTCGCCACCGACACCCTCCACACTCCCCTACCACCGTCACCATCACATTGCCGCCCACCGTCGCCACCGTCACCCTCCACACTACCCCACCACCGTCACCATCACATTGCCGCCCACCGTTGCCACCGTCGCCGTCCACACTCCCCAGCCGTCCGTGCCTGTGCGGGGGAATGTGTCTGCGAGGGTGGGGTGAGTGTGAGGGTGCCCATGGGGGACCCCAACCGTCGCCGTCCACACTCCCCACACGGGCACCCTCATACTCCCCCCCACCGTTGCCCCTCTGCACTCCCCCCCCCTCGCCGTCACCCTCCACACTCTCCCCCCACCGTCACCATCACAATGCCGCCCACCAACGCCACCGTCGCCCTCACACTCCCCCCGCCACCGTCGCCGTCCACACTGCTCCCCCACCGTCACCATCACATTGCCGCCCACCGTCGCCACCGACACCCTCCACACTCCCCCACCACCGTCACCATCACATTGCCGCCCACCGTCGCCACCGTTGCGCTCCACACTCCCTCACCACCGTCGCCCTCACACTCCCCCACACCGTCACCATCACATTGCCGCCCACCGTCGCCACCGTCGCCCTCCACACTCCCCCACCACCGTCACCATCACATTGCCGCCCACCGTCGCCACCGTCACCCTCCACACTCCCCCACCACCGTCACCATTACATTGCAGACCACCGTCGCCACCTTCGCCACCGTCGCCCTCCACACTCCCCCGCCGTCCGTGCCCAAGGCGAGGAATGTGAGTGCGAGGGTAGAGGTGTGTGTGAGGGTGCCCGTGGGGGACCTGAACCGTCGCCGTCCACACTCCCCACACGGGCACCCTCACACACCCCCCCCACCGTTGCCCTCTGCACTCCCCCGCGGCCGTAGCCCTCCGCACTCCGCCCCCACCGTCACCATCACATTGCCGCCCACCGTCGCCACCGTCACCCTCCACACTCCCCCACCACCGTCACCATCACATTGCCGCCCACCGTCGCCACCGTCGCCGTCCACACTCCCCCGCCCTCCGTGCCTGTGCGGGGGAATGTGTGTGCGAGGGTGGGGTGAGTGTGAGTGTGCCCGTGGGGGACCCCAACCGTCGCCGTCCACACTCCCCACACGGGCACCCTCACACTCCCCCCCACCGTCGCCCTCACACTCTCCCCCCCCACCGTCGCCGTCCACACTGCTCCCCCACCATCGCCCTCCACACTCCCCCCCCACCGTCACCATCACATTGCCGCCCACCGTCGCCACCGACACCCTCCACACTCCCCCACCACCGTCACCATCACATTGCCGCCCACCGTCGCCACCGTCACCCTCCACACTCCCCCACCACCGTCACCATCACATTGCCGCCCACCGTCACCACCGTCACCCTCCACACTCCCCGGCCATCCGTGCCCGTGCGGGAGAATGTGTGTGCGAGTGTGGGGGTGAGTGTGAGGGTGCCCGTGGGGGACCCGAACCTTCGCCGTCCACACTCCCCCCACCGTCGCCCTCACACTCCCCCTCCCACCGTCACCGTCCACACTCCCCCACCGCCGTCGCCCTCCACACTCCCCGACCACCGTCACCATCACATTGCCGCCCACCGTCGCCACCGTCGCCGTCCACACTACCCCGCCGTCCGTGCCTGTGCGGGGGAATGTGTGTGCGAGGGTGGGGTGAGTGTGAGGGTGCCCGTGGGGGACCCCAACCGTCGCCGTCCACACTCCCCACACGGGCACCCTCACACTCCCCCCCACCGTCGCCCTCACACCCCCCCCCACCGTCGCCGTCCACACTGCTGCCCCACCGTCACCATCACATTGCCGCCCACCGTCGCCACCGTCACCCTCCACAGTCCCCCACCACCGTCACCATCACATTGCCGCCCACCGTCGCCACCGTCGCCATCCACACTCCCCCGGCGTCCGTGCCCGTGCGGGGCAATGTGTGTGCGAGGGTGGGGTGAGTGTGAGGGTGCCCGTGGGGGACCCGAACCGTCGCCGTCCACACTCCCCACACGGGCACCCTCACACTCCCAACCACCGTCGCCTCACACTCCCCACCCCACCGTCGCCGTTCACACTCCACCCCCACCGTCGCCCTCCACACTCCCGCACCACCTTCACCATCACATTGCCACCCACCGTCGCCACCGTCGCCGTCCACATTCCCCCGCTGTCCGTGCCTGTGCGGGGGAATGTGTTTGCGAGGGTGGGGTGAGTGTGAGGGTGCCCGTGGGGACCCCAACCGTCGCCGTCCACACTCCCCACACGGGCACCCTCACACTCCCCCCCACCGTCGCCCTCACACTCCCCCCCCCCACCGTCGCCGTCCACACTGCTCCCCCACCGTCGCTCTCCACACTCCCCCACCACCGTTACCATCACATTGCCGCCCACCGTCGCCACCGTCACCCTCCACACTCCCCCACCACCGTCACCATCACATTGCCGCCCACCGTCGCCACCGTCACCCTCCACACTCCCCCACCACCGTCACCATCACATTGCCGCCCACCGTCGCCACTGTCGCCCTCCACACTCCCCCACCACCGTCACCATCACATTGCCGCCCACCGTCGCCACCGTCACCCTCCACACTCCCCCACCACCGTCACCATCACATTGTCGCCCACCGTCGCC